GGCTTTCTGGCCGCTCCGACAGCTAAGGGAGCTGATATCGTAAAATTTACGTTTTACGAAGGGAATGGGGCTATTTTGGTCTCCCGGGGCGCTCGTGGGGGGCCTCTTGAAGGCCTCTTGGGGCGGTTTGAGCGCCTCTTGACCCTTCTGGAAGCGATCTTTGGCGGTCTTGAAGCGATCCTGGGGTTCTCTCGGCGCTCCTGGAGCCCTCTTGGGCGGGCTGGAACGCGCGGGGGCCGCCGGAAGGGCGCCCCGGGAGAGGGCCGCACCCTATATACAAGGGAGGTTCCGGCCCGGGGCCCGGGGCCCGGGATCTCCCATATATGTATATATACACATATATATATATATATATATATATATATACATATTGCTATCTGCGCGTGAGCAGTCAGGGCAACCCACGTAGGACACCAGCGAGGGGACAAATGTTGGACCCAAATTTGTTATTACCTAACAGCTTTTGCTGATAGGTTTCTAGTAGGGTCAAAAGAGAGCATCTCATGACTCCACAAGGGGGTCTGGGCGGGTGCCGGGGAGGAGAACCGGGAATCGTTTTTCGCCAACAGTCACACACTTCGTGCTCTTCGACCTCCCAGAACTCTATTCCCGGGACACATTCTGGAGAACCGGGAACAGAGCCGGGCTCGCTTTTCGCCAACAGTCACACACTTCGTGCTCTCGGACCTCCCAGAACTCCATTCCCGGGCCACATTCTGAATGCCCGGAGCCAACTGTAAGCCACTTCGTGCTCTTCGACTTCCCAGAACTCCATTCCCGGGCCACATTTTGGATGCCCGGAGCCAACTGTAGGCCACTTCGTGCTCTTCGACTTCCCAGAACTCCATTCCCGGGCCACATTTTGGATGCCCGGAGCCAACTGTAGGCCACTTCGTGCTCTTCAAGTTCCCAGAACTCCATTCCTGGGCACATTTTGAATGCCCGGAGCCAACTGTAGGCCACTTCGTGTTCTTCTAGTTCCCAGAACTCCATTCCTGGGCCACATTTTGAATGCTGAGGCAGGCTGATGCTGCGGCCGAGGCAGGCTGAGGCTGAGGCAGGCTGAGGCTGAGGCCGAGGCTGAAGGCAGACTGAGGCTGAGGCTGAAGCAGAGGCTGAGGCTGAGGCTGAGGCTGAGGCTGAGGCTGAGGCTGAGGCAGGCTGAGGCTGAGGCTGAGGCAGGCTGAGGCTGAGGCTGAGGCTGATGCAGCTGAGGCTGAGGCAGGCTGAGGCTGAGGCTGAGGCTGAGGCTGAGGCAGGCTGAGGCTGAGGCTGAGGCAGGCTGAGGCTGAGGCAGGCTGAGGCTGAGGCTGAGGCAAGCTGAGGTTGAGGCTGTGACTGCGACTGCCGTTGCCGCTGCGACTGTCATCGCGAATGCGACTACGACTGCGAGAACAGCAGAATTCTACAACTGGATTTTCATCTGAATCTTAAGGGGAATGCTTTCAGATATGCTTCTACACATCGCTGTTAGGTTGCTTTGCCGGGATAATGCATATTTTTCCTAAACCTACCCGTGGGTGGATACACAACATTGCGCCTTCACCGCGTGAGGGCCTTGGATCAGAAGCCATGGGATATGGGAGCGCAGGGTCCGGAAGCCGGTGGCTCTCCAACCGTGGCCTGGCCATGGATATCACCGCCGCCCTTGTCAGATGATGAAGAATCCTCCAGGGTCTGGAGCCTCCTGGCCACATTCCTTGACCAACGCCCCCACCGTACGATGAAAAGCCTTGCCATAAAAAAATAGGTGCACATCCTTCGTCGATCTTCGAGGGCCCTACTGTGCCCCAGAGCTTCTGCGGGTCCCTGGGGCCATCGGGGATAAGAAGTTTCCGCGGAACACCTGCTGGCAAGCCATTGTATTATTTCACGTGCCTGCTAAACCCATCGTCCAGAAGAAGCGTGCAGAAGCACGGAGCAGAAGGCGCTGAAAGCAGATCTTGTCTCGGCGCGCCTTCTGAAGAGAAAGACGAAGCGAGAGCCATCCGAGTGGGAAGGCGCTCAGAATGGATATTTACTCACTGTCAACGAGCGATGGGTATCCATGTTATCCACAGCGGGCCCAGGACTCCTTGGCCGTGACCCTGTGGATACGGGGCGCCTTAACGCGGATGCCCCACGTGGAACGTATCCGTGCGATCGCATATCCCCTGGGAATCGCGCGTCGGTGTCCAGACCCCGAAGGCATGGACGTGGACACGCTCGTCACTCGTGGAGAGGGCCCAGACCTCAAGGTGGCTCGACAGCATAAACAAGCAGGCTGTGCTTCTGTCACTCTCGACCTCTGGGGTCCCGAATGTGGGACCAGGGGCCGTCGTGAAGACTCTCTTCGGGATGAAAAAAGCGGCCCCACCCTTCTGCCTCGCCCACCTCCTCCCCCTCAGATTCCTCCCCTTCGTCCTCCTGTCATCATGCCCCTCTTCCTCTCAGTCTCCTCCTTCTCCTCCCCATCTTCCCAGCCCTCCTCCTCTTCCTCCTTTTCCTTCTCCTCCTCCTTTTCCTCCTGTGCCACCCCCGTCCTCCTCATCATCAGCATCATCATCACCATCATCATCACCATCATCATCATCATCATCATCATCATCATCATCATCATCATCATCATCATCATCATAATCATCAGCAGCAGCAGCATTATCATCATCAACAGCAGCAGCATCTTCAGCATCTTCGTCGCCGTTCTCGTCATCATCATCAGCATCAGCATCATCAACAACAGCAGCATTCCCTTCAGCAGCAGCATCAGCATCAGCATCAGCATTAGCATCAGCATCAGCATCCGCATCGGCAGCATCAGCATCAACATCATCATCATCATCATCATCATCATCATCATCATCACCACCAGCATCATCAGCAGCATCAGCATCATCAGCATCATCATCATCAGCATCATCATCATCAGTCGCAGCATCATCAACTTCTTTACCATCATCATCAGCATCAGCATCATCAGCACCATCATCAGCATCAGCATCATCAGAATCATCATCATCGTCATCATCAGCATCATCACCATCACCAGTATCATCATCAGCATCAGCATCATCAGCAGCATCACCATCACTATCGAAATCATCATCATCATCAGCAGCAGCATCATCATTGCAATCCTCCTGCTTGTCCTGCCTATCCCTCCCTCCCTCCTGCCCGTCTGCCCCCATCATGTCCTCATCCTTCTAAATCCACCGACAACGACGCCGACAAGATCGACAACACCGACCGACGACGACGACGACGACGACGACGACGATCCCAACCACAACGACCAACGACGACCGACGACGACGACGACCCAAAAGATGACGACCGACGACCGACGACCGACGACAGCGACGACGACGACGACGACGACGACGAGGACGACGACGACGACCGACGACGACGACGGACGACGACGACGACGACGACGACCAGCCGCAGCTGCCGCCGCGGAGAAGAACCATC